CCCCCCCCCCCCCCCTTTACTGTAGATGTATCATTGTACCAAAATTGGATGCCCTCTTTTAGGACCCTGGCTAAAAGCCTGCTTTACTATTTTACTCTGTCTAATGCCAGATGATTTTACTAGTCAAGGGGAGAGTGCTATCACTCAATGGGTTAATATATTAAGTTGCATTGCACCCTAATGCACCTTACTGTACCTTATAACTTTACTCTGCCTGACACTAGACAATATTATTCATCAAGAGGAGATTGCTGGCACTCAATGGGTTAATATATGGGAAAGATGTTTAGCTTGACAAGTAAAATCATCTGGCAATAGACAGAGAAAAATAGCAAAGTTCGAGGCACATCATGCAGGGTGCATTGCCACTTAAAGAGTTAATTTAATAACCCAGTAAGCATCTTACTCTGTCTAACACCAGATAATAGCACCTTCTATCAAACAAGCCTATCAGCACTGGGCTGTTTATATGGAAATTAGTGGCTGGCCCCGGTTATAGTGAGACAAGCCCGGTAAGCAAGATCTCACAATCTGTAGTATAGTAAAAATTACTGTGCATTTATATGGACAAACGGGCTGGTCCAGTTGCTGAGATCTCGCTTGAAAGAGGCAAGATCTCGCTTACCGGGATGAAAATTTCTCCATCTCCGCCAGGATGAAAGTTCAAAGATGCCACTGCAAGCTATTTTTAACAACTGTCAATGAAAACAAAACTGTCCTGGCAAGCAGAATGAAATTTTCTCACATAAACACTTGCCGGGCTGTCTCCCTAAGCGGGCCAGGCCGGCTTCCATACAGAGGCTTCCATATAAACAGCCCCTTAATTAGAACAGATAATTTATAGGCAAAATTTTTTGTGAAAAGTGAAACTAAATTCTCTGTTTGAAACAGTTACCAGCTGGCAACTAAATTATAGATAGAGCAAATATATTCAAGAAAATATGAAGATCAAGTACCCAATTCAAATATATTAATACATACCAGCTAGAACAATACTTCGTTGTGATTTCCGCACTGTCATCAGCCATCTAGCCTTCCAAGTATTCCAACGATCGAATGTCTGCAAACCTATAACACTTGTATTGTATATCGGCACTTCAGTATAAAATTCGAACGCTGATGGAGCTACAAAACCCAACGTACTATGAAAGTTTTTACGAAACAAGATGGCGTTAAAAGCAGCTTAAAGAAAGCCCAGCATTGAAGCAAACGAAAGTTATAAATGTCAATAGTCAGCATTGCTCAGCAATAATTTTTCCAAGAAACATCTTTTGTTTTACAGTTTGTTTGTTTCGCTTTCATTTTGTTTATATTGCACGGCCAATACGTCATGTTGTTGAAATATAGTGACCTATGCCTGCATCAGGTGGAACAAAAAAACATGGCGGATTTTCGCCTTTGCTGACGCCAGAATGAGAATGACGCCACTGGTTTTGCACTAATAAAGCTCAGTGGGGGGG